ATATTCTTAATTATAAAATTGATAAATATGATTTATTATAATTATGATTGAATTTAATCATGATTATAGTTTGATTATTTGATTGGATTTAATTGATTAAAAAATAATAAATTACGATTCACTTTTATAGTTTTCTCATATGAATTATTGATTATACTTTTATATGTAATAAATAAAATCCAATTATTGTTCTTGGATATTCATTAGGTCATTCACATGTATATATTTGAAATTATGAAATAATGTTTATCTTTCATATAATGTATGATTTATATGTTATCATGATTATCATATGAGTTTTCTTTTACTGATTAATGTTAAATAATTATTATGGTTGTTATTCTATTATTGAATTGTTTAGCATAAATTAAATTAAAAAATTTGATTAATATTATTTGTAACTCATCTTCCTAAATTTTATCTGACCTGTAGTTGTCAAATGGCCTAGGATGATTGACTTTTATGATATGAATTACAATAAAAATTTTATAATTTATAAGACATTTTAAATTATATTTTATATTATTGTATTGGTCTTGTAGCCACCAAAGTGACCTAGACCGATAACTTGTAAAATAATATTAAGGAATTAGTCCTAAATGATATTAAAAAAATAATATTCATAATGACATATATAATTAGGATATTTAGATAATCCCAAAAGAGAATTTACTTAAATAATTATGTGATGAGGTAGGATGATACTATTCTGGATATTGTTATAGTTTAGGGTTGTATACCAAAAAATAACAATACTATTCCACAAGGATGGTATTAGTCCTCCATTGATGATCTTGAGTGAACACTAGATATATTAATATTTCACCCAAAGGTGTAATATAGATGATATCAATAGTTCATCAATTTTTTTAAAAATCAAAGAATTAATATTATTTTATATTTTTGCAATGGTACTTTCGTCCAAACATTCATATGCTTCTAGTGTCCTTGTACTCTCTGGATCAAATTATTTAGAATGGTTAGAGCATGTGCAATTCACACTAGGCGTATTAGATCTTGATTTAGCATTGCTTATTAAAAAGCCTGCAGACTTGACTGATGAAAGTACTGTAGAACAAGTTAATGAAATAAAGTCTTGGGAAAGATCTGATAGGCTTAGCTTAATATTCATAAGAATGACGATTGTAAATTATATAAAGACTTCATTACCGATTACAACTAGTGCACATAAATATTTAAATATTATTAAAGATAGATTTAAATCTGTTGATAAGTCATTGGCTAGCACACTAATGAAAGAACTAACTACGGCTCAATATGATGACACTCGATATGGCTGATAAAGCTGCAAAACTTAAAGCATTAGGTATGAATGTTGATGAGTCTTTCCTAGTGCAGTTCATTCTATTTAGGAAGAATTAAGATTAAAGCAGGAAAGTTCATATAATGTCATGATTTCCACTCAAGGAGCTAGTAACAAGAAAAGAAAATTGAAGCATTATCCATTAAAGAAATTTGTCGGGTCTAAAAATATTAAACAGACTAATGAAAAAAAAGTCTTTACTGTAAAGTGCTTCTTTTATGGTAAGAAAGGACACGCGAAGAAGGACTGCATTAAACACAAGACTTGGTTTAAAAAGAAAGATATTAACTCAACTTTTGTAAGTTTCGAATCAAACATTACAGAAGTTCCTTCTAATACTTGGTGGATTGATTCCGGTGCTTCAACTCATATTACCAATAATATGTCGGGATTTCTTTCAATCCAAAAACTAAAAGAACATGAAAGATTCATTATTATGAGAAATCATTTTAAAGCAAAATTGATATCAGTGGAGATTTATCGTCTACGCTTAGAAACGGGTCATCTGATGGATCTTGTTGACACATGTTATGTTCCTACTATTTCTAGAAATTTAGTTTCTATATCTAGAATTGA